ACCGCACGCATACTGACACGTGGCTCAAAACAACAACCGACAGCCGCAGCATGCCTCCAATACCTCCGAGAGGGTTGGACCCAGTATTTCGGCAATCCTCATTGCTTGCGGTTAGATCCTGGAGGGTCCTTCAGAAGCCAGTCAGTGCAAGAGTTCTGTGATCGGAATGATATCTTCCTGGACATCATACCAGGCGAGGCGCACTGGCAGATTGGGGTTTGTGAACAAGCGGTGCAGGGGCTTAAGGCCACCATGACTAAGCTGAGTCAGGACTCGCCAGATTTGGGCTGTGAAGAACTGTTATCTACCTCCGTGCGCGTGTTCAATCAGAGAGATATGGTGAGAGGTTTTTCACCATTACAGCATGCTTTCGGAAGAGGCACGGACGTGACCGGTCGCATCCTGGATGCAACACAGAGCACTCCGGACGAGCTACAGATTGAAAACCCGACAGGCGAGTTTGAGCGTAATGTCCAGAGACAAGCAGCGGCGGAGCAGGCACACTCAGAGTGGCCAGCTCAGCAGAGACTCCTCCGAGCGAAGCACTCCCGCAGTCGCCCGGCCTTGGACTACTGCCCAGGGGAGCTCATCTACTTCTGGAGGACTCAGGAGTCCAACAAGAGCAAGGCCAGCCCAGGAACACGGAAGGGCAGGTTCTTGGGCCCAGCCAGGATTTTGGCTACCGAGACCCGAAGGAACGAACAGGGCGAGCTACGCCCTGGCAGCGCCGTATGGATCGTGAGAGGCAGACAACTGCTGAAGTGCTCACCTGAGCAAATCCGCAGGGCTTCACCCCGGGAGGAGCTCATCGAGGCCTTGTCCGAGGACAACAAGCTTCCGTGGACCTACACGAGGGTCGCCAAGGAAATCGGCGGCAGTCAGTACGAGGACATCTCCGACGAGACTCCAAGCCCAGAGGAGTGGCGCCGAGCACAAGATCCAGAACAGGAGGAGCTACCCGCCCGATACCGCATCCGGCAGAAGCGGCCTGTACAAGGCGATGGAGACCAGGAGATGCCTGAGGCCAGCGAAGGCGCCGGCCCCAGTACGCCACAACGGCCCCGTTTGTCACCTCCGGAAGCTATGGCGGCCCAAGGGCACAGCTGGTGGTCCCAGATAGAGGAGGACCAGTGGCCAGAGGACGCGGGATGCTACTGGAACGACGAGGGCGCCGCCGTTTCCGTGGAGATCCCTATGCCGGAGTCCAACCGGCAATGGCAGAAGGCAGTGAACAACCTGGAGGCCTACTTCACGGGAGCCTTGAAGCGACGAGCGGTTGAAGTGAGCGAGCGGAACCTAAGTGAGGATGAACGACGCCAGTTTCGCGAGGCAAAGAACACCGAGGTGAGAAACTTCATAAGTGCCCGCGCCTTCGAAGCCCTCCCGGAGGGCCTCAGACCAGATCGCGAACAAGCCGTCAACATGAGGTGGATTCTCACTTGGAAGGTTCGTGAGGACGGGTCGACCAAGGCGAAGGCAAGAGCAGTGCTTCTTGGCTTCCAAGACCCTGGATACGCTCACAGAGCGACCACCGCTCCAGTAATGACTCGTCAGTCCCGTCAGCTGTTACTCCATCTTGCAGCCAACAAGAAATGGAGGCTCTACAAAGGAGATATTACTGGAGCTTTCCTTCAAGGCCGAGAATATCCTGATACCTTGTATTGCATACCTTGCCCAGAAATCTGCGAGGCAATGAATCTGGAACCCGGTACCATTACCAAGCTTAAGAAGGCTTGCTACGGATTGGTGGATGCACCATTGGAATGGTATCGGACAGTGTCGGAGTTTTTCCAGCAGTTGGGACTGGAGAGACTCTGGTCAGATGCCTGCATGTGGGTTTGGAGGCCACAGGGACAAGTCCGAGGCATTATCTCAGGTCATGTCGATGATTTCTTGTTTGGAGGATCAGAACAGGATCAGGCATGGCAGGACATCTTGAAGCAGATCAAGGAGCGGTTCAAGTGGGGAGACTGGGAACATGGTCGTTTCACGCAGTGCGGAGTCCTGATAGAGGAAACAGCCAGCGGCTACGAGCTGAGTCAAAAGCAGTACGTCGAAGAGCATTTGGAGGAGATTGCCATCAATGCCACGCGCCGCAAAGATAAAAAGAGTCCGACAACTGAGCGAGAAAAGACCGCCCTCAGAGCGGTGCTTGGAGGCTTGAGTTGGCACGCACAACAAGTAGCCCCACACATCTCAGCTGAGGTGGGACTCCTACTATCGGAAGTAAGTGTGAGCACAGTGGAGACGCTATGCAAGGCCAATCTTCTTGTGCAACATACCAAGGCGCGGAAGGACTACAAGCTTAAGGTGCACCGATTTGAGGACTCTGAGGACATCAGTGCTTTCGCCTGGGTTGATGCAGCTAATCAGAACCGCCCGGATGGCGGAAGTACTCAGGGATTGGTGATTGGCTTAGGCACTAAGGCCATGTATGATGGGGAGGTGGACAGGGTCACACCGATTGTATGGTCGAGCACGAAGATTGACCGCCAGTGCCGGAGCCCTGGCAGCGCAGAGACTCAGGCGGCTGTCAACGGCGAGGACAACCTCTACTATGTGAGATTCCAGCTAGCTGAAATCTTATATGGATGCAAAGACACTAGAGACCCCCAGGCCCTGGTGCGAAAAGTTCATGGTTGCGTCATCACCGACTCTAGGAATGTGTTTGACAAGTTGAACTGCGAAGTTCTGGCTATCAAAGGAGCTGAGAAGAAGAGCAATCTGGAACTTATCAGTCTTAAAGAAGCACAACAACAGAATGGGGTGACGCTGAGGTGGGTCCACTCGGAGGCCCAGCTTGCCAACTCACTGACTAAGGCCGGAGGCTCCAAGGAGCTCGAGTTATTCTACAAGATGGCATTCCAATGGCGCATCGTTGAGGATCCAGCTATGCGTTCAGCCCGGAAGCGAAAGGCAGCCGGACTAGAACCCTTGGAAGCTACCGTACAACAGCTGCCAGCTGAAGGAAGTGCAAATAAAGGGTTGCCAAGGGACACTTCATAATCCTCAAGGGGGAACGGGGACGGGGCGCATGCAAGTGCAAAAGCCACTTATCTGCGTCACAGCACGAAGTGTCAGCTGATCCGCAGTCTTGTGATCTCTCAAGTAAAAAGGTGTGAATGGTCCGAACTCGTTGCTGTACGCCGCAACCCTACAGGACTTACAACCTGCCTGCTGAGTCGTCACATCATTGAGCATCTACGGCTACCCGCTTGCATGGTAGCGGAGCCGAGTCAAGAGACCGGCTCGTGAGCAACAAGATCCAGGGGAAAGACAAGGAGCTCGCCTACGCATAGCCTGGGCGAGATGTCAAGTGGGAATGCCAGCGATGGTGGCATTAGCCGGAACAAAGATGGTGTGCCTCAGTGGTCTGGAGATCCTGCTACGTTTCAGCAGTATGAGGAAGAAGCCAGGCTGTGGGAACAGACCCAAGCTTGGCACAAGCGGCACATGGCCGCCCCGAGGCTGAAGGCAGAACTCCAGGGGGCAGCGAGACGCCTGATCCTGGGACAACCAGCAGAGTGGACAGCGCATGAAGGCGGAGTAAGCGAACTCCTACAGTTCTTGAGAGCCCGTCTGGGGAAGGCCCAGATGCCAGAGCTGTCGGAGTGGCTGACGCGCTACTTTCGCTCCACCAAGCGGAAGGCCCAGGAGACCGTGGGGGAGTACATCACGAGGAAGTGTGAAGTATATGTACGAGCACAGCAGTCACTACAGCGGGTCCAACAGGACCAGAAACCCATGGACCATGGAAGGACCTGGAACAGGGCTGAGTGGACTCCAACCTGGAATACGTGGAGCCGCAGGACAAGTCTAGATACAACGCCGGAAGATGGTCAGAATGGTGCCGCGCCACAGGCGGCAGCGCCAACAGCAACAGACGGCGATGGTGAGATGGACGGAGATCCGCAGGCGGCCGCCGATGGGTGGAGCGACTCAAGCTGGACAAGGTCCTCGTGGGACCAAGGATACACGTGGGGACAGAGCTACTGGGGGTGGTATAGTTCCGACTGGCGAGGATCACAGGCCAGCACCACGGGAGGACAACGCCCTCCACCACCACCAGAGATCCTGCCAGACTTCGTGCAGGGATGGTTCTTACTACAGGACGCTGGCTTGGATGTGCATGAACGCAACGTCATACAGACGGCTCTACGTGGAGACTTTGGGTTGCAGCGAGTGGCCGCTGAGCTCCGGGCCCAGTGGCCGGACCATGAAGTTCAGAAGCGAGACCGTGGCCACCGCCACGGAGCCTACCTAGGCGACGCCGAGGCCGGAGACGCCGACGATGATGAAGACCACCGGTCCGACCTAGCCTGGCTGGCCGATGAAGGGATGAGTGATGAAGGGATGGCCCTGATGACCGCCGCTGAAGAGGACGCGCAGTCAGCTTTGGCAGCAATCAATCAGGGGCGACGGACCCTGCGCGAGGCCCGAGCTAAACAACATGAAGTGCGCATGGCCCGGAAGTACTACAGGACTCCCGGAAACAACAGGCCCTCATCATCTACTTCCACCTCGAGGCCCGGAACCTTTGGAGGACACCGTGATGATGGACGTGACGCTCACATCACATGCCTCAAGTGTGGCAAGCAAGGCCACAGAGTGGCAAACTGTCCAGACAAGGCCACCGAGCAGGCCAAAGTGGTGGAAGAAGCTCCCTTCGTGTGCTATGCGGGAACCGAGGCAGCGATGGCATGCGGCATTACGACACAGGAGGCCGTGGAGCATGGCAAGGCAGTCATCGACGGCGGAGCTACCAAGACAATTGCCAGTGTCGTTGCCGTGGAAGCGCTCATGGAAAAGAACCGCCAGAAGAATGGGAACTCAGGCATCCACTGCTTGGACACCAGTGAGCGCCCCGTGTTTAGCTTCGGGAACAGCACTTCCGATCAGTGCCTTAGCACAGCTCAGGTGAACATCCGTGCTGACGGTCGTGAGGGTCGCTTGAAGATTCACACTTTGGACCAGGGTACCGGGCCGATTTTGTTGTCAGTGGCCACCCTCAGGACCTTAGGTGCCGTCATAGATTTCGAGCAAGATCTGGCCGTGTTTCGAAATCTCGACTGTCAGCGAGCTGTGCCCCTCGAGAGATCCGCCACGGGACACCAATTGTTGTCCCTGAGTGAAGACATTTTTAAAGATGCAGTCCCTCTGAGGGCCCCGCTGTCCAGCATCCGAGACATGTGCTAGGGACAGCTCCTCCAGCCTTTAGAACCGCCTGAACAAGGGCCGGAGGGTAGTGTGAAAACATCAGGCAGTGGGCAAAGCTCAGATGTCAAGGCTGATTCCTCCTTGGGGATTATAAGGGGGTCAAGCAGGCAGTCTGAGAGGGGTAAGCGTAAAGTGAAATTTGCACTTCTGGAAGCCAACAGCGTTAGAGACGGAACTTGTGCAGCAGGATGTTGTAACGTCAGCAGCCATCAGTGTGATCAAATTCGAGACTCTCAGCAACCAACCTCTTCGCTACATCCGAACGAATATGCCGGGCCTCTCCTCCATGAACAAGGTCCAGCTGGTCGCGGAGATTCATCGCCTCGGAGGCACAGCCGATGTCAGTGCCCGCAAGCTCGAGCTTCAGCAACAGCTGTACGGCCTGTACGAGGATCATGGGGTCTCGACGGGACCCAACCGTGCCACCACGGACTACCAGAACTACACGAGGGCGATGAACAAGGCCGGGAAGTACAAGAAGGACCTCATCAAGTACATGGAGGAGCACCTCAACTTGTCGGTCAACTACAATGCGACGCAGATCCAGCTACAGAAACAGGCGCTGCTGAAGATCTACGCCCTCTCCAAGATCGACGAGACCGACCCGGTGGGCTTCGGAATCCACAGCTCCCTGAGCTACCGAGAGCTCAAGGAGACGCAGCCGCAGTACTGCCAGTGGGCAAGGGCAACTGCCAACGAAGGGCAGTGCAATCCCCTGATGACCAGGCTGGTGAGGTGGCTGGTGGAGGATCAAGCGAGTGGCAGCCTGAGCGGCCACCCAATCGGGCCGAAGGCAAAGGCGAAGAGCACGAGCACGGCCATCCATGGCCGACGAGATGTGGGGGACACCGATGTCCAGAGCACGGGTTCCCTCAATACCGACATGACGCAGGAGACGGTGATGCGGGAGATGATGGGTGCCCTACGGAACCTACAGGCCGAAGTGGGTGCCTTGAAGGAGGAACAGAGGTCCTCACGTCCCCGTCGCGAGAACCATCCCGACGAAGAGATGGAGACCAAGAGCGTGAACGAGGATGGCAGCTTCGTGGCAGTGAGCGGGCCTACGAAGAAGTGAGCACGGACGGCGGGATCGAGTCACAGCCTAAGAGGTTAGAGGATAGTGTGGCCCGGCGCCTAGAACAACAGGCCGGGGCCCTAGTCCCTAGTTTATTCCAGCAGTTAATGGTTGATGACCGACCACACCTCATGGAAGTGTGCTGTGACTCAGATTCGGCCCTGTCCTCAGCAGTGCAGAGCTTGGTAGGAACAGATGAGGCCGCAACACGTTGCTCGCTCTTCAATGCATGTGACTTAGGAACTGACTCAGGAGTAAGACTTGTGTTAGAAAGAATACAGGCGCAGCAACCACATGTGGTTTGGATGAAACCTCCGATTGCCCCTTACTCCCCCCTAAGTAACATGACACCTGAAAAGGGCGAGCAGCAAGAGGCCCTGCAACAGAAGCGGCTGGAAACCCGCAGGCTGTTTGTGGGATGCGCGTGTGTGTTTCATCATTGTATTCAGCAAGGGATACATGTGATACTGGAAATGGATGAAAGAAGCTTGGCATGGCGCATGCCCCTGTTCCACAATCTGAAGAAGCGCTACAGTCTGTATGAGGTCACCACTAGCGGATGTGCAGTGAACCGTAGGGATTCCCAAGGGTCGTTCATCAAATCTGGATGGAGGATCGTGACCTCACATGCTCGACTGGCCAAGGCTCTGGACCTCCCCTGTAGGTGCCCCAAATCCTATAGGCATGGTACTCAAGGTCAGCATCGTATTAGAGGTAATGAAGGCTACACGACTGAGTATGTGAAAAGAGTAGCCAAGTATCTCTGCCAGGAGCTTGATGCTAGGGGTTGTGAACAGGAGCTGGCTGGACAGTCGCAGTTGCCCGATTCCTTTGGTGAGGGAGCATGCTGTGCGTGCCCAGAACTGCAGTGGCCCGGAGTCAGGTCACAAACGTGTGCTTGCTGTATGCTGCAGTCAGGGACCATGCTCAGTGTGGAAGCTAGGACCGAGAGCCCCAGCCAACCTCCTCATCCGGACCCCGTCGAAGAAGCTAGATACCACAGCCTTGAGTCTCAAGAATCAAACAGCGAAGCAATGGCAAAAACCCTGTTGGAACGCCAAGATTTCTCGTATCCTTCGTGTGAAAAACTGGTTCAAGACCTCCTAATCAAGAATCCCGGAAGGAACAGGAATCTTATAGGGCCCAAAGGTGACACCATGACTCTGGGAATGTACTCGTATGGAAATCATTATGGAGTGACCCGTCGCACGGGACAAATCCCATGGACCACCCGATACCTCAATGAGTTTTCATGCAACGGAAGTGCAAACAGCCTCAAACGTGGTGTTCCCTTGTGGTGTCTCGGAACATCAAGGTGCCTAGGCATCGGGATGTTAACAACCTTCCGGGAAGTAAGAACATTGTCGTAGGGCTGGGTGACTTCCAGCAAGGGGAACTCTGGCTGGAAAACCCCCAGCCCAAGCAAGCCGAAACCGACCTGACTCAGGTACGCCACGACGGGACCGTGGTCAACGGCTCCCAAGTACCACTCCGACGAAACGTGGTGGTGTTCGACCCGAAGGCCTGGCACGGGACCTGTGAGTGGACTGGTGATCGTGTGGTACTGGCTGCCTACACGTCACGAGGGATAAGTCATGCCACTGCTGAACAGCTCCAACAGTTGCAGTCATGTAGTTTCCCATGTCCTGACCTCGAACACGGATGTGCAGTGTCAGAAAGAAGAGTGTTGAGAGAGAAAGAGAGACAACAGAAAGATGAACGAATCAAGAAACAACTCTATCTCCTTCATTCAGCAACCGGGCACGGCAGCACAAGACACCTTGTCCAAGCACTCAAACGAAGGAATGCACCACCCCGAGTCATTGAGTTGGCTAAAGAGTTCAAGTGCTCGGTGTGTGCCGAGCGACCACGCGTTCAATCACGCCACCTGGCATCACTGGAGCCCCTTCCACCAAAGTGGCACACAATAAGCGCGGACATTGGCCACTTTCAACACCCGGAAACCGGGGAACATGTGCAGTTCATGGTGATCATCGATGAGGGATCCCGATACCGCACCGCACGCATACT